ATGCATAGCCACTCAATCAGAAAACCACCACAATCAGAAAAAAAAAGAAACTAAGAGAGAGAGAGAGAGAGAGAGAGAAAGAAAGAAAGAAAGAAAGAAAGAAAGAAAGAAAGAAAGAAAGAAAGAAAGAAAGAAAGAAAGAAAGAAAGAAAGAAAAAAGGACAAGTCAATGAAATGATCCCTAATGATATCCTGCTATACTTGAACACAGGAGTCTAGCATAATTGTCATCAGAGAGGCTTCATCCAGCAACTGATGGAAACAGATGCAGACCCATAGCCAAACATTAGGCAGAGCTTGAGGAATCCTGCAGAAGAGGTGGAGGAAGGATTGCAGGAGCCCTTTTCTGAAGAGAAACTGAGGAGGAGGGGGATGAGGGGGGCTAAGAGGAGAGGAGGGAGGGGAAACTGCAATTGGGATGTAATATATGAGAGAATAAATTTTTTAAAAAGAACTAACAATAAAACAAAGTAAATTGAGAGATTTAAAAAAGCAGAGGTTAAATTTCATTAAAACAAAGGATGATATAAAAAAATCCATTGATGCTGTTCATTAAAGGATTGGAAGGGATGGTTTTAGAGGGATTTCTCAAGTCATCATTCATCCATTCATCCCTAATTTAAATAAACAAATCTTTGTCAACTAAGAATAAAAGGACATTTCCTCAATTTCATGATTAGCTGTAATTTTATCTCTTTGTATTGTTCAATGATTTGAGCAATGAATGTACATTACCAGAGAACAAATTCCTTTCCCCTGTAATTTTTTTATTTTTTTTAAAAGAACGTCACCCATGCATACAATATATTTTTATTATAGTCACCTCCCCCCATAACTCCCCCTGGATCCACTCTCCCCACCCCTCCCAATTTCATGTCTTTTATCACATTGAGTCCAATTTGTGGTGCCCATATATACACCAGTGTTGAGCCATCCACTGAAGCATGGTCTGCCCACCAGAGGTCACATCCACAAGAGAGAGCAGCTAACTCTGTCTCCACTACAGCCACTGACTGCCAATGACCCCTCGGCTAGGGATGAGGACTTTCGAGCACCTTTTGTCCTCCAAACTAAAATGCTAACTGGCTTGAGCCAGTGCAGGTCTTGTGCAGACCACCAAAGCTGCTGTGTATTCATGGGTGCAGTGGTATTTTCATGTCCAGAATATACTGTTTATCACTAGTTTGCCCCAACCTCTGACTCTTAAAATCTTTCTACAGCCTCTTCACTTTTCTGAGTTTGAGGGGAAGATGTACGATACTGATGTCCCATTAATGACCGAGCACTCCACAGACACTTATTCCCTGCACTTTGATTAGTTGTGAATTTCTGCATTAAATACCACCCATTGCACCAATAAGTTTCTCTAATGACAGCTGAGATTAATTAGAGCTGGGCACGAACCTATGGGCATACTGTATATTTAAAGAGCAGTTTGATATCATCCCTTCCCTAGGACCTATGAGTTCCTCAACCATTGGTTCTTGGCTAGATCTACAGTCCCAGGAAGAAGAAGGTCCTAAGTCTGATGGACTATCTCATGGCTGACAGACAGGTGTTTTAAAGGCCAACATTTCCCGACACTGAGGCTCTTCAAGTTTCATTCCTCTGTTTATGCCATATTGCCTCAAGAACCTGCTGTGACAGGATTAATTTTGATAACGGGAGGGAGGAAACAATTGCCAATAGAATGTAAGCAAGTCATTTGTATCTTTTATTTATTTAATGTGTATATGTGCACCACATGCATACAGGTGCCCAGAAAGGCCAGAGGAGGGTATCAGATCTCCTAGAGCTAAAGTTAAGACAATTGTGAGCTGCCTGATATGGGTGCCGGGAACCAAACCCAGGTCTCAAGAGCAGCAAGTGCTCCTAACCACTGAGCTACCTCTCCAGCCCCCTATGTGTATCTTCTTGCTCATTTTCATTAATTTGTTATTCCCTCAAACAATGCTCATGCCTCTGAATTCTTCTGATCATTTCAATATGACTGACAACTACCCATTTGTTTTCACTTGTTTTTCTTTTAAATTCAGAGCTTAGCTAAGTAAGGAGGGCAGAAAAATGCAAGATCTATTTTGCAAATGCAAAATACAAGTTTTTGGTTCTGATTTAAACCATATTTTTGGCAAGGACTTTAAGCTGATTAATTTCTAAGTGTATTTGGTACAGAGACAAAAGATTCACGGATGCAATCCCATCCTTTCTGTATCATTATTAATCAAATAAATATTTGAAATTTTTTTCTTAATGCAGCACGTGTAAAGACTAAACTTATGTGCATGAATGCTCTGTGTTCACTATAAAGTTCTAATACGGAATTATAATTCTCCCATCTACTTGTCAACATTCAGTGTCACCATCATCAACTATCAAGGCACTTTCCCAAGGTACTATGCCCAAATAGTATGTGCCACATTGTATGCTTGAGTGGATATATTATAAAAAGAAAAACAGGAAGGGTGGCCGGAATGCAGCTTATCTCTGGAAGACACTATCATAAGTTTTTCTTCTTTCTTGTGACTTCATTTCCTACCTACTCTCAAACACACCCACTGAAACTGTGAATGTTCCTTTCACTTACAGCAACAACAACAAAATATTACTTGGGAACTTTGGGATTTGTTTTGGTTGCTCTTGTTTGTTTTCAAGAATCGGCTCTCCCTGGTGGGAGCCTGAGCCTTTACCTTCACCAGCACACCTGTCTACAGGCCAGTGTGCTTAACTCTGTGATCTGTGTGTCTCTAACATCTCATCTGATTTAAAAATAAAAAAAAAAAAAAAAAAAAAAAAGGCTCTCCGTCAATTGCACTCAAACCCTATTGTTTGAAAAGTTAATCTTGCCTGGCAGTCACACCCATATATCCCTGCCCCATGTCTTTAATGCCCAATGGTTGTATATTATACTTCTGTTCGTCCTGTATAACCCAGTGGCACTTACAACCACAACTGCTACACAGTTTCTGCTAGCCAGGTACAATCTACAAACAACACAGATTTACTCTTGTAAACACAGCCAGTGTTGCTGTGTCCTGAGGGCTCTCTCCAGGAAGAGGGTGAGAAGGCTCGAAGTCACTGACACAGACTATGGGAGTGAGGTGAAAAGCAACGAGCAGACTCATATACTCAGCAATGGGGAGAGCCTTAAATACCCTCCTCCCAGCACCCGGGCTGGGGCCCGATCCGGTGACATTGTGTGGTTGCCTCTCATTGGCTGGACACGATGAAGACCACTGACAGCACCTGTTGCTAGGCCCTCAGGCAGACTCCAGATTGGCTCATCTCTTGGCCTTGTAGGCCTTATTTTCCTACACTATATGACAGAGGTTGGATACTGGTCCCCCAGGCTAATCTCAACATGCCAACAGGATCAGCCCTAAGGGAGAATGCTTCCGTGCCATCCCTAAAGGAGAATGTATCTGTGCCTAAGCCACCTACATTCCCTACCTATGGCTCCTTCCTCTATAAAAGCCCCAAACAGCGGACAAGTCTTTCTTACATTGTATCCCTCTGACATCTTATACACCCTTCTTCCATTTTTAATGGCCTTCTGATTAGATGACCTAATGACCACCCAAAGAATTCAGGATCATATCCCCTTCTTAAGACTTTTAACATAAGCATTTTTGAGACAGTCTCAAGATTATAAATCAGGCCGGTCTCAAATTCAGAATACTCCTGCCTCAGCCTTCCAAGTGCTGAGATACTTAAGCACATTTTAATTTAATACACCTGCAATGTACCATATCTTCATGCTTCTGGAAACTAAGATATTAACATCTTTGAGTAGCCATAATTCTACCTTTTAAGTTACACCTGTATAAAAGAAATCAAATATACCAACCCAGAGTTAATTTTGTCATGGGGAGGACACTAGTTGTTCAAATGAAAAATGTCAATGATAAAAACTCAACATTTTACTGTTTTTACTGGCATTACACTCTGAAATTAAACCCTAATTATTTATATTGAGATAAAAGAAAATCTTGGGACTGAAAACACTGAGAATAAACAGAACTAACAAGTACAAAATCATCAATTTCTTTTTCTGTGTTGGGCCTCTGACCAATGAATGGCCTTCCATGTGCTGAGAAAGCTTTCACCCACTAAGCTATGTCCTCAAACCAAATCTGTTGACTGTTAAAAGCTGAATGGAAACTATGAAAGCAAATTCCATACAACCTTTCTACACACTGTCCTACTGTAGAATTCAGGGACTATTACTGCTACAGAGCAGCCACAGACTACACTATATACAGACTGTTACGTTAACTTAAACTAGGAAGGAGTAGCTGGAAGGACTATATTTGAGCACACTATGAGTTCTTATGACTTATAAAACAAAATATCCACAGTATCATTATACATGAGTCTGTGGTGAAAATCAAAACTTGTGAGCCAGCAAGACGGCTCAGTGAGTAAAGACACTTTGCCTCCAAGCCTGATGACTAAGTTTATCCCTGGTACCCACATAGCACAGAGGCCCAACTCCTAAAATCTGTCCTCAACCTCCCCATGTGCCACGGCAGGCGCACACACACGTGAACACATGCACATGCAGACACACACCCCCAAAAATACATACATACACACAAAACACACATATACAAATAAATGTAATCTTAAACATTTTTAAAATATTTATTTAAAAAAATAAAACTTTTGTTTTTGAAATGCCCAAACTGGGAATAGCACTACACTGTAAAATTCCTTGAGACTCCTCCAGTACTGTCCTATTCATTTAATCTTTTCAATTTAGCTTTATATCTTTTCTGACTCCAGGACAGGAGAGCAATGTTTGATGAACTCAAGTCATATCCAGCATGTACCAACTCTTTGATTCGAGTTTTTAAAGTATTTATGCTTGCATCCAAAACCCTAGGGTTTTCAATTATTTGTGAAATGCTGATTTTTCCTTCTATGAGGCAGTCTATTTTATCATTAAACTTTTTCTCTGACAAGAAGACCACATTCAGATAGCTTAGGACAAACTTCTGTACCTCCTCATCAGTGCATCCCAGAGAGAGCAGCTTCTCCTGGATATTTGTGTAGTTCCTTTTGGTACAGTCATTGGAAAGATCTAGGATTCCAGCTCCTGGGCCACATAGCAGAAGCAGCAGGTTCTCCTTGTTTAAGTTGAAAGTTGACTGTAGAAATTCAATGTTAGTTTTCACCCGTTTGGTGCTCTGAATTAAGATGGAAGGATTTTTACAAATTATCTTCCTGACAAAATCTGTGGGATCATTGTGACCTAAGGATATACTGGTCTCCTGCAAAAATTCAACCATTTGTTTATTCAAATTCAGGCTATTGGAGAAGGTTCTAGGAGCACTGGTCAACAGTCGGTAGAGGCATTTATTAGTCAATCCAACAGAGCAGAGGAACTTTATATTATTCTCTAAGTTTAGGTTGTTATTAGACCGAAAAAAGGATTCAGGAGAACGCTCCAAAATATTTACAATTTCAAGGTCTGATGCCATAATCTTTCTCCACAGCTCCCACCTTTTTGAAAGACCTTCAAGAGTGCGTGTTATGGCTCGTGGGTATCTTGATATGATACTACCAATCACTTTGTCACTAGCTCCTTTGGAAAGAAGGAATATCCTCAGCGCCTGCTCATTTGTACTCATCCTGTTAAACACTCCAGGCTGCCGTCTCCTCGCCATGTCAACATCAACTCCCATGGTGAGTAAGTTCTTCAGTAGGTCCTCATTCTTCAAGGGCTCCCTGTCTTTACTGTCACATTTCACACTAAAAGGCCTCAATGAAATCGATTTGAGGAAAATTTCTGCTGAATATTGGATCATCCAACCTCTCGAACCAAAGAGGAAGTTCCTTGTCATACACCAGACGTTCCTTGACGCCATAATCATCAGATAGCCCAAAGCTTTTCAAATGCTGTGTAAAACAACATATAATGTTAACATATAATATTCAGGAATGCCTTGTTAAACAGCTGATGACAGTATTATGATCCTTCAAATACAATGAACCTTTCCAGAAGAAAACACCCATTCCTTCACCTTTCCTGGTTCTGCACTCATACTCTGCCTCACTGCTTCTGTTGGATACCTACGGACTAGGGCTCTACCACCTTCAACATAAAGAGGAGCAGAATAGCACCATGCTGCACAAAACTGCCCTGCCCTTGGATGTTCTTCTTACTTTACTGTGCCTGTTTTGACTATTCAGAATCAGCCCCCCACCCCCACACACACACCAATCTCTTTTTTGTGTGATTTCTATATCTTGGTTTGTTCCTAATAAATGGCATTTTTACTACCATCTTGCCTTTCAACTCAGCAGATGTCTGACCTGACCGTTCCCACAGACACTAGATTTCTTTGTTTCTGGCCACCTCGATTTCAAACCATGAATGCAGCCCTGAAAAACAACACTTCAGATGTCTAGTTTCCATCTTTAGTGTCTTTTTCTGGATTTATAGTATCCTTTAAATGGATCACATTCATTCCTAGCTTATTCAAATCTCTGGACAACAGCTACCAACACCAATCTCCACCTCAGTTGACCAAATTGTTTCCTTGATTGTAATGCAATATTTCTAAGTTAATCTCCATCTTCAAAATCATATAAATGAGGGAACGGAGTGTTCAGTGGTAGGTTCAGTGGTACAGCACATGAGTAGCATGCATGAGGACCTGAGTTCAAACCCCAACACCGAAAAGGAGAAGGAAGAATTGGTTTTCTAAGTTAAGGGTTGTTTGGTCTTAAATCTGGGACAAATGGCTGAGGTGCCTATTTAACATATTAAAGCTGACCTGGCTGCCAGGTTCTCCCAGCATCCCTCAGTCCTTACCTGTTACAGGTTGGCATTCCCCAACCCTATCCTGAATGCTCCAGTCCAGGGGCTGGGCTGCCCTCCCCACAGCTGCTCATCCCTATATAATCCAGCTATTTTGGCTATGCTGGCTCTTTTAATCCTTTTTGGCATTTTTGCCTTTTGGCCTCTTGGCCCCCATACAAGGTTCCACTTTCTTCCTCTCCCTTCCCCGTCTCCTCACACAGCCCAGCTCAGTCTACTTGCCATGTCCACCCTGGACTCTTCCATATGCCTCTGGCTGTTTTCTCCCTCATATCTACAATAAACCTTTTTCTCCACCATACCTAGAAGCAGTCATGTCCTCCTTTTATTTCTTTTTTTCATTCAAGAGTGGTTCCTAGTAGGTCAAACACTCCAATGATGGCCATATAACCAAAGGAATATAGGTAACTCTAATTGAACTCAATGGTTTGAGAGAGAGAGAGAGAGAGAGAGAGAGAGAGAGAGAGAGAGAGAGAGAGAGAGAGAGAACGAGAACAAAGTTGAATGGTTATAGCATGGGATGTGGATCTAGGAGGAGTTGGAGGAGGGGGTGAATATGATCAAAACTCTCAAGTAATTAATGAGAAAATATACATTCAAAAAGAACTAAGGCTCTAGCTTGTACCTTTTCCCTTCCAGACACTCATGGGTGACCTCTGCTGGAGAACAGAACTAAACACTATCAGATAACAGTCAGACAAGTTTTATAAAGAGCTTTATAAGTAAGAATGCAAAATGATCCAACAGGATATAAAGAGGAAAAACAGTATAATTCTTAAACTATACTCATCTTATCCTGTGAAAATTTTTACTTTTAGTGAATTCTATTCAGATATTTAGCATCATAGTAAACAGATAAACATGCCACAGAATATTCAAGAGAAATTCTAATACAGATAAACCAAAAATAAGCAAAAAGGTATGCCAAGACTCCTAACAAAAGGGTAAAAAATCTGTTAGGGTTTCTGTTAGATCTTTACAATTTGTTTTGTTTCTCTTTATATAACTTATTCTTAAACAAATAACTTCTAAATGAGGCAACATGCCCACGACTGAACTGAGCATCTATGAAACCCCAAATCAGCCCTCCTCTGATTAATGCCATTTAAGATAAGCACCAGGAGGGCTTGACTTTCTTCCTCTTTCTTACCCCTAAAATCATCAAACTGTACATGTAGCTTCACTCAAAAAGAGTAACAAAGCAATCTTATTCTGAACATCTTGGCACAGTCTAATCTCTTTGTCTTTGCTGTCTTCTCATTATTTTTAACTGATATAACAAATACAATATATATTATATCATATACACGATACATGCTTTTATTGCCCTCATTAACACTGACCCACACCACTGGCCCTCTTCCTCCTCCCAAAGTTCCTCTTTTGCTTCCATGTCACACACATGTATATACATATATAACTTACATAAATCTAAATTCTACATTAGAAACATGCCCGATTGTTTTTCCCCATAATTTTCTTATTCCCCAACCCCTTGTTAGATTCCCTTTCTCCCCAGCCAGTGCTTTCTACTTTCCTATCACACACACACACACACACACACACACACACACACACACTCACACCTTTCTGGGTTTCACTTATATGGTTAAACTTATATGGTTAATCTTTCAGATAGGGTCAATTTCTTGAATCCTAGCTGTACAAGCAAAGTGTTGCATAAACACAATCTCCCTTTTAAAACAGATTGTTGAGCTGAATTTGTAACCTCTGACAAGAGGTTACAATAGACTAATGCAATTTTTTTAAAAGCAAATATCGAATAATTTACTTTGATCTTCCTCTCAAAATAAACCATTTTCTTAAGTAATGTTAAATTTAGCAAATATGATGAAAACCTTGGTGACTGTAACTAGCGAGGTCTAAGGAGGAGGATTTATGTTCCCTTATGTTCCATAGATGGTCAGCTAACCGGCTTTAAAAGAAAACAGCTAATCACTGGCACCGGGGCACCACAATCCAGCTAATCTTTTGACCCAGCATTTAAGTGTAGTGACTTTTACAGAACTACATCTCCACATCATATCTGTCTTAAGATAGGAGACTTTGGATCTCTCCCAAAAAGGTAAGGAGCAGATGTTTCTACCATCACAGCTCCAATCCGGAAAAGAAAAGGCAAAATATCGCCAGCGAGGTGAGAATAAAGAGATCCAGGCTAGACACTTTTTTTGTGAGACACACTACCGAGACACACTACCTCCCGCAAACTAAACATTTCTCAGTCACAATGAAAAGAAAACCGCAACAAAACTCCCACCTCCGTGCAAGGTGGGGGAAAGGTAGCGGAATTACAATGGGTTTTAACACCAGAACTCAACGTTTCACGTACATTTTCTCCTTAATCCCCCACATACACAACGACGTAAGGGGTGGGCACTGTCCCTAAAGTTACAAATTTTGACACAATCCGAGCTCCTTTACTATCTAAAGTGTAGGGGATGGGTCTAAGCTCCCGCAATCCCTCATCGCAGGCTGTCCTTCCCTCCCGCGCAATTCTGCTAGGGCCTTTAGCAACACTGCAGCAGCTCCCAACCTCACCCGTGCCGTACTTCGTATTCGCGCTCCGTACCAAAGTTCGCGGGAGACACCTTTTACTTCCGCTTCTAGAAGCCCAGAAAGGATGGGAGGGCGGAAGTAAAGGCTAACTTCCGACCTCCGGCCGGGCGCAGAGGTGACGTCATCGAATCTGCGCCCCCAGGCGGCGGTGCCTAAATCCTTGCTAATCTGACCGCTGGAGCCCAGCAGGGGGCGGCAAGAGACCGTTCTGGATGCCAGGACCGGCCTATGGGGCTGGTTTTGGACCGTCGCTGGGGCTGGAATCCTGGCTGTACCAAGAACAGGTTCAGTTTTGGTCACACTCTTCTCTTAGGCTGCTTTATAGATCATTAATTTCTTTTGCATTTTTCTGGTTGGTTTGTTGTTTGCAAGAATAAAGATTTATCTTGGGGAATTTAAATGACTAACAATCAGTTTACCTGGTAAGTGAAACTACCAATGGTCTCAACTTCTGCCTGAATAATATTCTCTGCTCTACATGCCCCGCGCATTTTCTTTTACGAACACCAGAGCAGGTTTAAGTCTCCATGAAAGTGATGTCGTTGAGAAAAAGTGTAGCTGAGATATTGAAGAGTTTGGGGAATAGGAATACCAAAGGTAGGGAGTAAAAGGTGAGGAGCAAATAAGAAAAGGATTAATAATGCCGGGCAGAAGGAGAAAATGAGGTAAATGATGTATTAGCAAATCGAATGTCTTTGTTTTATGCTGAGGTCACCACAATGCTGAGAACCTTAAATGATACAACAACAAAATTTGTAACAGAGAATAAAAATCTACCAATAGAAAATACCACCGATTGTATAAGCACCACAGCATACAGAGTCATGCAGGAGATGTCCGGAATACAGAAGCAGATTCACCAATGAAAAGACAGTATCGTTCTGCTTGAGGGTAATGGTGGGTGTCATAATACTCTATGACAACGTCCATCCAGTGGGAGCATTTGCCAAAACTTCAAAATTGATACGAAAGGTTGCATCGAAGTTCTTAAAGGACCAACCTCCTAATAGTATAGAAGATCTTCTCAATGCTGTCAAGTACACAACAGACCATTTGAATGATGAGACTACCTCCAAGCAAACTAGGTCCATGCTACAGTAAGAGGTTTGGGGCAAGCCCCTGCTGCAGATGGAGCACGGTGTTCTTCAGTGACCGAGAATGCAGTCTTTAGTGATTGCCAATAAACCCCTTTAATCTTGCTTTGGTTTCTTTCCTCTGTTCCTCTTTACACTTTTTAAATCATGATCTTGTTCTTAAGACTCCTTTTTTATGCCAAAATCAGTAAAGTTATACATTGAAAGGGATTTTGTCCTGTCCAAACAGGCCATCTAAGGCAGCTAATTATGCATTGCATTGCATTGAGGTGCCTACTGAGAAAAGGTCTGTGACTTGAAGTAAATTTTTTTGTTTGTTTGTTTGTTTTTTTGTTTTTCGAGACAGGGTTTCTCTGTGTAGCTTTGCGTCTTTTCCTGGAACTCACTTGGTAGCCCAGGCTGGCCTCGAACTCACAGAGATCCGCCTGGCTCTGCCTCCCGAGTGCTGGGATTAAAGGCGTGTGCCACCACCGCCCGGTTGAACTAAATAACTGCCTATTCTGCTATTTAAAACCCTCATGAATTTATTTCTACTGCTGCTTTTTAATGTCCAACCAAATGAAATGTTTAAATTAACTGTGTGGTACAAATGGTACCCAACACAAACTTTTTTAAATTAGTAGGGCTTTTGTTCAAAGTTTTAAGTTTGCATTTTGACTTTTTTTTTTGGTAAGGATGTATATTATGTATTAAATCTTTATTAGCTAACATTAAAAGCTATTATGTGTGCACAGAATATTACATCTGCATGTTCATGTTTAAGAATGGCTGTTGATGCCGGGCGGTGGTGGTGCACGCCTTTAATCCCAGCACTCGGGAGGCAGAGCCAGGCGGATCTCTGTGAGTTCGAGGCCAGCCTGGGCTACCAAGTGAGTTCCAGGACAGGGGCAAAGCTACACAGAGAAACCCTGTCTCGAAAAACCAAAAAAAAATAAATAAATAAATAAGAATGGCTGTTGACAAAGTTTTTAAAAAAGGAAAGGAATCCAGAACTAGGAGCAATATGGTAGAGTTTTCCCAAGGCACCATTCTGGAGTTCTCATCTCTCTTGAGTTTTTATGATGATTAAGTCAACTTTATGTCAGAGTTGTGTTACTATGCAAGGATCTCTCTCTTACAGTCTCTTTTCTGAAAGGATGGTGTTATGTGATGAGAGTTAGAGTGAGTGTGAAGTTCAAATACCAAGTTTATGCTATTTTCAGAATTGCCTCTGCCCTCTTATAAAAAATATTAATAATAATTATATAATAATAGTAATTAATAACAACTATAGTGCCTGATATGTCTGCCTGACTAACTTTTCCTTGGGAAGTTCACGGTCCCTTACTTTACCACTCATGTTCCAGTGGTAAAGTAAACCCAGTTACAGTCATAAAGGAATTAGCTCTCCATTCCTTCAAGAGCACCCTGAGTTAAAATACCACCATTCACAGACTCCAGGATTCAATAAACAAATGCCCTTTCTACCTCCTCCTCAATTATACAAATCTTCCATTCTCCTGTAGTTTCTCTCAAGGTCATTATCTTAGTTAAGGTTACTATTGCTGTGATGAATACTATCGCTATTACTATTGATGTGTTATGCTTCCACATCCTAGTTCATCATCAAAAGAAGTCAGAACAAAAATTTAGACGGGGCAGGAACCTGGAGCCAGGAGCTGATATCAAGGCCATGAAGGAGTGTTGCCTATTAACTGGCATTTCATGCCTTGCTCAGCCTGCTTTCTTACAGAAACCAGGACCACCAGCCCAGGAATAGCACTATCCATAATGGGCTGGACCCTCCCATATAAATCACTAATTGAGATAATGCCCTACAGGCTTGCCTACAGCTAGATATTAGATATTATGGAGGCATTTTTCTCAGTCTAGGCTCCCTCTTCTCTGATGACTAGCTTATATCGAGCTGACATAAAACTAGCCAGTATAATCATCAAGGGAACTTGGCTTTCTACCAGGAATCTTCTATAATATTGCATAGGAAAACTGTAGGGGACCTCAAAGTTAGATCAAGATCCCCCAAGACCAAGTTCTCGGCTCAAAGGAGATTTATTTGCCCCAGAGGGACAAAGGGCAGGGAAGAAGAGACAAAGACAGGAGCTAGAGGATGAGGGCGAAGGGGGCGGGAAGGAGGAAGAAGGGGAAGGGGGAGGGACAAAGGACTGCCTCTGAATAGAGAGGAGACAGACATTGCCCATAGGCAAGTGGTGGTTTATAAAGGCAAAAAGGGAAATTGGCATGTTAATTAGGAGAGCCAAAGGGGACTTTTGATTGATGGACTTCAGTACTTTGATAGCTGGACTTTGGTGGTCAGCCTCAGGAGGAAGAAGTGGCCAAATAAGGGAATGGACCTTGGTGTCTAGCTTTAGGAATGTAATCTAACGGGTTTGTTTGTTTGTTTTTGTTTTAGTTTTTGTTGTTGTTGTTTTGTTTGTTTTTTGTTTTTTCAAGACAGGGTTTCTCTGTGTAGCTTTGTGCCTTTCCTGGAACTCACTCTGTAGCCCAGGCTGGCCTCGAACTCACAGAGATTCGCCTGGCTCTGCCTCCTGAGTGCTGGGATTAAAGGAGTGCACCACCACCGCCCAGCAATCTAACAGTTTTTTAGCAAGGCAGAGGGAATGGAGAGAAGGGCAACGCCTGCCAGAGCCATGTTTGCTATGCTCGGGCTGGCTAGAGTCTCTTCAAAAACTCCTCACAGAGTTCCGGTTGATTAAAGCAGTAAAGTTAGTCAGAGTGTTTCAAGTAGCTAACATACTGCAAAGTACCAAACAGAAAAGCTAGCTCAATTTCCTTCCCTTTGAAAACAATTGCTATCTAATGACCACACAGCCCTAAAGAATTTACTCCAGGAAACTTACTTTCTCTGAAAAGTGCCTAACCAGAATCTAGAAAACTCCTTGAGTCAGATTTCTTGATATAACAAAGGCCCGGGGCAAAGAACTGGACACTGGCTTAGGAAATTCACTGACTGCAGACCTGAAAGAATCCTGGATTCTGATGGGAGTTAGGCTAACGGCATGAGCAGGACAGAACTGACCGAGAGAAACAGAGTAATCCTTTGAAATTCTATTCAGCCATATGAGTTTAAATGCCCGTGGCATGTTTTGATCCTACAGAACTATGCTTTAATCAATTACCATGGAGTAATTTTCAATCTTGGTAGAGAATTGATCTCAGCAGAGTTGGAAAGCAAGTACTCAGAAGAGTGGCATTTTCCTTGTTCAAAACTATTTACAGTATGTTTTAAAATTCCATTTTTAAAGATTTCTTCCTCATTTTTATAGTGTGATAGTTGTAAATTTAAATCCTTTGAAAGAGGAAACCTTAAGCTATTGGCAGAAATTTTTCTACAATGGGCCAAACAGTTATTATCCAAAACTTGCAGGCTTATTTGTATACTATTATTTTCTGCATTCCTTCTTCCTGTTTTTAACCCTTTACTAGTTCCTCCCCACTGTGTGTGTGTGTGTATGTGTGTGTGTGTGTGTGTGTGTGTGTGTGTGTGTGTGTGTGTCTGCACATAGGGGCATGCAATTGTCCTCCAGGGCCGAAAGAGGGCATCAGATCTCTGAAACCTTTCCAAACCTACCCCCATTTCTATCAATCTGAGCATTCTGTTCAACCAGTGTAATTCTAAATTCATTCTATCTGGGATGAAATGACTTTAGTACATACATGTCATTCTTGCTGTCCAAGAGCAATTCCTTGCAGGCATAGTGTCTTGCTACTCATCCCTGTGGAGTCCAGCTACCACCTGTCTGTCCTCTCAACCTCTAGCTCTGCTAACTAGACATGCCCCGGGTGCACACAGAACCCAGAATAACTGAGCCTCCCACTAAAGCAGTCTATATCTAAAAGCATCAAAGAAAAATGTAAATGGCTATAGAGTTTACATATACATATCAGCAACCTCCTGAACTCACACTTTTAAATTGATTGGCTCACATCTTCTTTCTTCTGAATGGTCTCCAGAACTTCGAACTCTTTTATTTTTTTGTCCC